TCCCCATTATCTGACCTGCGACTAACGAGTCCCCATCGGCCACCTAAACGACTCTCTTCTGTGCCTAGACGCCCGACCTGAGCATTCAAGTCTCCGGCTAGTACCACAATATCTGTCGAACGCACTTTCTGGAGAAGAACAGATAACTGGTGGTAAAATCATCCTTGATTGCATCCGGGCTGCAATCTGTCGGGGCATAGGCGGAGATGACGAAAAGACATCGTTTCTCACGCCGATTTCTTCTCACTTTGATGGAACTTTCTAATCTAACAGCACATAACCGACTGTTAATGGGGATCCAATCGACTAGTGCTGCCTCAGCTCTAGCGCTTAGTGCGACACCAACGCCAGCAAGACTAGACAAAGATGCCACAGGGTCCCCGAATAAGCGCACGTGAAACAAGCTTTTCGAAGCGACAGATGGAGATCGAATTTGTAGTACTTCGCCAGAGTCTTGAATACAGGTCTCGGGTAGACAACAAACATCAATATTAAGACTTTCCAAAGACATAGCCAGCCCTATCTGTTGTCCGACCTGCATAAATGTGCGAACGTTGAAGGCAGCCAGTTTGAATGGTGCACGTGGTTTCAGAAAAACTGCTTCAGTCCTCGTATTCGGTGGTAACATACAATTTTCAACCGGACAGTGACTCGAGAACGTTTAGATACAGTCGAATTTCCATCAAAGACGAGCCGCTGTATAAGTATAAAAGAGGGTGAATAATGTGGAAAATAATAATAATAACAATAATGACAATAATAGTAGAAGTAATAACAATAGTATTAATAATGACAATAATTGTAATGATAATAATTTGAAACAATTTTTTTTCGAAGCCAGAAAAGTAATTTCCATAGGCCTAGAGAGTTCATCGATTTGTATGTGGGCTGTGATACTGCCCGGGTGCCCGAACCGAAGCAGGTGGTTATCTTAGGGGGCCACACCCCAAGCCTTTGACCTAAAGGTCTAACCCACAAGGCAGTGGAGCATCGTAAGGAGATGCAATCCCATGGTAGCCGGTGACCAAAGATTGGTTCATACGCCATTTGTTCCCGCAGGATACTGGAGCCCATGTGCACCATTGATTTGTGATCCGGTTAAAGCGCCGAACATTCGCTTTTTGTCCTCTCATTTTCGTAAACAACACCCCCGCCGCGAGAAGGCGATGAATAGGACTTCCCTGGCAGAGGCTGTATACGCGTGGCCGTGTGAGAGTATTTCGAAAGGGAGAGCGGACTCTCCCCACTCGAGGCCGTACCAGGGCATTCGGGGGCGATAAAACTTGATACATATGTGATCCGTTCCTCATTCTGATCATACAGTACAGGTAGCAGTATATCAGGCACTTTTTCTGTGATTCACTGGTTTTTGGCTTGAATACTCTCCAAAACTGTATTTTCATCAAATACGATTTATCCTCTACAGTTAAATTATTAAATTATTAATTTGATAAAGCTTATTTTTAAAGAATATAAAGTATTAGGCAACTGATCAAATTAACAAGCGATTAAATATAAAGAATCGAACATTAAGTATGTTAATCTATATATTCTTGTATGATAAACAGTGAAGTTTCAATTGGCTAGGACAACTATAAATTAGGTATTCTCTTCTAAAGTTTAATATTTATCAATATTCTGATGATTAAACCACTATTTCATGGATACATACGTATATTACTCATTTTGTTTAATATTAACAATCCTTGTCACTAATTAAAAAAATACAAAAAATTAGTCTCGTTCAGTTCATTTATTAAAAACATTAGTCCAGAAACTAAAAAGTACCATCCTTATCAAGTACAAAAACTATTACTAGGAACATACCGTTGAAAGATATAAATCAATCTAACAGCTTACTTAAATATTATGAGTAGTAAAATATCAGTTTTATGAATAAGAGCTATATATTCTAGTATTAACATTCAGGTAAATCATAATTTCCTGTATTATAAACTGATTTTTTAAACACAATAAATATCATAAAGAGATGAATTCGTAGCCATTTAAGATATTAATAAAATATTGTATTCCATAGTTCTAGGTTATAAATGTTTAACTTTACTTGGAGTACAAAATGATTGCTCTATGTAGATAAAATAAATGAAGAAATTTAAAGGATCCCTAAAAGAATTTTAATTTTATAGAATAACATGGAATAACTTAGAGATTCCATTGTATTTTATTTTCATTGAAAATTCTCATTCATATACAGTGTAAGTGAAAATCCATTTAAAATAACAAACTAGACATTTCCGATTGTTTGTGTTGGGAATTTTAAGTTGATGAGACAAAACAAAATAAGAAATTCTAATTTATTAATGAATTTTCAGTTGTCACAAGTTTATATTGGTAATTATACTCATTTGTAAAACTATTCATTATATAAAGTCATCTTCAAATATGATCATTTATAGCAACTATCCTATAAACAATTTCGATTATTCAAAAATGAAGAATATTTGAACGAACAATTGTTTTCAATAACTTCATCATCAAGCTCTATAGTTATAAGTCCATAATTATAATATTTTACAAAGACCAAATTGGTTATTTATTCTCTGAAGAAGTGACTTACACTAAGCCACGAAACGTCAGAAAATCCAATTTTCTACTCATTGGGATATTACAAATATATTATTTTTATTTATAACAATCAACCCAATGCTCAATTTATTCGAAATTATCAAATCAAACCTTGGTAATGACACCTAAAAATAAGGCATGTTTTAATGAGTTTGACAATGTTATGTGTTAAAAATTGGTGTACGTTTGCATCTGTTACGATATATATATACTTCAAAATTGTATTATTTGACTAATTAGAAAGGTCATTCAATAAAGGTCAGTAAATTGTTCAGTCACAATAAGATAATAGTACTATTGCAAAATTGAAATTAATTTTGTCAACTGAGATAATAATAATATTGTTGTGTGAATATAATATGTAATAAGGGGGGTGTTATCAAGGTAATTACGGTCAACAAATTGGGAATGATGAATATGAAGATTAAGAGATAATGACAAATAATGATAATAAGGAAAATAAATAAAATAAAGGAAGGGGTAAGAGGTTTATAATATTCAGTCTAGGTATTCGGTGACCCAGTCGTAGGCCAGGGTAAACATAGAGGCTGGATATATTTTTTCTGGATGCATAAATTAGGTTGATCCAGATGGCTTCGACTGTGTAAAGCAGTCGTAATCTAGCTCCTTGAGGTAGATATTTTGGAACTTGATATAAAACAGAGAAAGCTTCCTCTATTTTGATATGATGTTCACTATCTACCAAGTGAGAAAGAATGGTGCTGTTAATCGATTTGGTGACTCCTTTTCTCAACCATGCTGGTACATGTTCACGAACACTCAAGGATAAAGCCCTCTGAGTACGGCCTATGATTAATTTTGGTTAAGTACTTTTATTTATTAACTTAATCATCAGACAATCTTATTGGAAAAGTAACAATTCGCATATTGCTTTGAAGCGTTATGATCACTAGATCACATGACAGACTCTAGTTAAAATGTTCATTGCTTAAATATCATCACTCGATGATTCATCCTCCTCTCCATATATGTATGTACTCAAATCCTATTATTAATCCTTGTTTTGCATTGCTGCGTCCTTATACAATTTGACTATAAATTTGCATATGTGATTGCTTGTATATACTTACTTGTTCGACTCTCTGCTTCAAATTTAGTCGATGTACTTATAACTTTGTGATATGTTCTATCCACTAATACACTGTAGTTGTCGCTTCTCATTAAGTTTTGATTTGAAACACCGTTAAGATTTATGTAATAGTGTTTATCGAGGTGATTGATCAACGAAGCTAAGCCACTATGAATTCATTCAAAAATTAAAGTATTTTCAAATGACTATGTAAAAATATTCTTTTTTCAAAATACCTATTTCTCAGCTTAATCTTGAAGACTGAAATATTCTATCTGATATATTCATTTCATTAGGATGTCATTTATAACGAGTTTTGTGGAAAAAAAAGACATTTATTTATGATGAAATTGCTACTCATGTTCTTTGCCTTGCTTAATCCTTTCTCATCTTGAATTCAAAATCATTACTCACAATATCATTGGAATAATTATTAAAATGATCTTTTATTGTAACACATGTATTTGTTAAGGAAACAATTTAGACGAAGTCATACAACTTAATTTACCACTGATAAACCTAAATGAAATAAATAATTATTTTCAGATAGGGGTTTTTGCGGCGATTATAGTAATTTTTTAGTAATATTTTAATTCATGAATCAATTAAAGCTAGATCACCATAGAAAACCTAGAAGCACTCGATGGCCGTTTATTCCTAGTACGGGATTCATAAGCAGTGCGAATTCACGATCATGTGCCAAGAAGACTCGAACCAAAGACATTCGGTCTCGTGCGCGATCACTTAAACTCGACACCACCGAACAGGCATCCAATGGTGTTAATGTCTAACTTCAACCAATCTACGAAAGTGAGCCACCGTCCACCGATGGGTTCTGGATTTGATCCCGCGAGCACAGTCGTGGATACGCATTGCTGAGGAGTCCCATACTGGAACGAAACGGCTGTCCAGTGCTTCCAGGTTTTCCACGGTGGTTTAGCTTCAATTGACTCATGAATTTAACTATTAAAATAATTGTTTATTCTGTAAAGTCAGGTGAAGCTCGAAAAAAAATAGTGAAAATTGTTTACATTAAATCCACACCAACTGTATGAAAACAGTTATAATTGTTAACGAAACGTATGAATGGTAGAATGTTATGGACTAGATTAGATGAACAAATTTCAATGGATATAACTGAGAAAAATATTATGCAATTCCCTAATATCAGTAACATTATTAATTAAAGTAATAACAGTAGAATTGTCGTTTATCATAGATTGTGTGCTTAAAATTATTTCACAAGTAAACTGTTTGTATCGTGTCTGTAATAACTTGACATTATACACAACTATTACGTGATTTTTTGTATTTTAATACATAGGTTGGCTAGAAGATTTAGCAAGACGATTAAGGTCTCCTTTTCATTTAAACAGATCTGGTGGACCTACAGAAGGATCTAAATATTTTACTGCATTATATTTCACATGTAGCAGTCTAACATCCGTAGGATTTGGTAATGTTTCAGCAAATACACTAAATGAGAAGATATTTGCTATTTGTATCATGCTTCTTGGAGGTAAGTTTTTTTTGTAACTGTAACTATATTTATGTGCTTTGAATTGTTTACATTATCATTTTATTTATCAATTCTATGATTTACACTAAAATTGAATTTCAAATCCAAACAAATCTATATAACCTCGAAAGAGATGAATACAATATCGTTTTTGGTTACTGTATATTAAACAGTGGATTAAATCGAATCAATGTAAAGAAATTCAAAATTAATCCCATTAAACCTTCACTTCATGGGGAGCTGAGCAGAAAATTTCTTTAAGCACTGTTAAAATGTTTAATTTTAGAAAGAAAAATTCTCTTTTATCATCATGGAGTGCAAGTGACGTACTGTGAAGGCAATCACATGAAAAATACGTGCTTTTTCGGTGTTGACGTAAATATAAATCAATAATAATAATAATCTTTCCTACTTTTCTTCAATGTAAGTCCAATATTAATCTGTGTTTACATATCAAATGCAAATGTTCAAGGAGATAAGAATAATTGTACATATTATCTTCAAATCCTTGAACTGTACTACTACTGCTTCCTTAAAGTTTTAACGAGTTTGCAAACAAAATCACAAAAGCTACAAGATATTTATGTAAACATTTCTTGATTCAGACGTTCTTGCATTCATAGTTTTAAATTTCAGTAATGAATTTATTCTGGGATTAAGGTAAGAAAATTAATTGTAAACTTTAAAGAGTTCAGTTACAGATGTAAGGAAGCTATAAATAAATGCATTTTATCCTCTATTTTATTAAGATATTCTTCATTTATACGCACTACTTGCTTGTTAGGTAATAGGCGACATAAAAAGGTCAGAATCCCCATTGATCATCAGTACGGTATAGTTTAACTCTATTCTATACCGTTATAAAATAAAAGGTTAGCTTCTACATCAAGGAAATTTAATGGTATCAGCATTTAAATACAATCATTCAGTAACCAAATAATTAATATTACCACATCGAAAGTTCAAATATAAATAACTTTTAAGTGATAAGCCAACCAGAAGTTACTATTTTATTTTTTATTTATTTGAACACATAAATATTGGTACAAAGGGACATATGTGTTACACAAGTCACTTGATTTGTGTGTAAGCAATGAAACTGCCCGTGTGCTCAGACCGAAACAGGTGGTTTTCTTAGGAAGGCACACCCGGAGCCTTCGACCTAAAGCTCTGGCCCACAAGACAGTGGAGCAACGTAAGGAGGTGCATTCCCATGGTAGCCGGTGACCAACGATAGGTTCATACGCCATATGTTCATTCAGGATCATGGAGTCCATGTTTTCCAACTCCCTTAGATGAACCCTCCATGCCCACCAATCCGGTTAAAGCGCTGGATATCCGCTTTTGTCCTCTCAACTTCGTAAACAACACTCCCACCACGAGAGGGTGGTGAGATGGACTTCCCTGGAAGTGGCTGTATATGCGTGGATATGTGAGAGCATTTTGAGAGGAAGAGCTAACTTCTCTTCCCTCGGCCGTACTAGAGTATTTGGGAGCTCGAAGTAAATAGTTTGCAATAATAAACTTTGTTCATAAATACCCAATTACAAACTTTTATATAAGTTGAAAGCAAGTAGTTTTGACGTTTTGATTGACATTGAAGATCATCAGGCATGTTCAGAGAAATAATTAAATTAGAAATTATTAGAGATAAATTAGTTCACATAAACATCTCTGTGTTAAACTATTTTCCAGTCATGGTCAAATGTTTACTTTAGTTATAGTATGACTGCAAAGCATTTAATTAGCTAAAATTGTGACTTGTGAAGATGTATGTGTACGTGTAAATAATTCTCAAAATGTTTGTGGATGTAAACATAATTGACTAATCATTGGTGTTTATATACTGTTACTTTCGACGTGGTACAAAAAACAACCAAAAAATAGATAATGTCTGAATATTAATTAAATATACATTGCTAATGTTTCGGATCCAATGTTTTTAGTAGAAATAAATTCACGAGTAGATGATGCTTTATCATTTCGATAACTCATTTGTCATCCATCGGATTGATATGGCCAACTGTATTATTTCCCGTCTATTCAAATTATTTGAATTAAAACAAATCTTCAGGGCATTGGTTCTTGATTTTTATGGAATATATTTTGAAGAGTTTCATATTCTTAAAAGTTAACCTTATAAAAAGTTTTTATTAAATGTACCCTCTTAGATGATCTGTTCTTCATATTCCTCTGGTTTACAAAGGAATTAGGAACTTTTTGAACATTTTTTGAGTTCTTATACATTTATATTTAACCGCCTCGATATAGATCCTGTCTACTGAGTACTGAAGTCAGTACATTGGATTAAGTAAAACCAGGTTGTTTTTCTTCGGCTATTGTATCATTGATGTTTGCTATTGACAAACTTAGTCAATTATTCATGTAGGCATATACTTTAAAACCATGAATCATTGGAATTTCTCTCAAGTTTTCCAATTTTTCTTCACTGTGTGGGATAAAAACACCATTAATCAAAGAATGTGAATAGACATTACTGTTTCAATCGATTTTTGCTTTTCGTAATTCTTTTTATTGAATTGGATTATTTATTAAATTTGAGTATAATTCCGTTTCAATCTGTTTATCTTCCGTTTCCATGATACTCTAATGAGCTCTGTTTGCCAAATTATAACTGTTATAGTAATTGATGAACGTGTGCCTAAATATCTCTGAATATTAGCAAACCTTCAAGAAATATGGTTTCAAGTCATCGTTCTGTCAACTTCCAACTAGACAGTTGAGAAACGTTACGCCTAAATATCTAGTAAATGGCTAAAAATATCTCAATAGTTTTGTGCGAAACTGAAAACTACCAGAGCCTAGTATTATTTTGTCCTTTTTAATATGCGTCGTACATATCGTACATTTTTTATATGTTCATCGAATATACTACACCATGTCTAACTTATTTGTAATAGGGTTCAATAATTCTGCAAATAAATTTCCTAAGCAGTATGTTTATCATCTAAATTATGATTATCCTACACAGTGTATAAGGTCTTCGTTGAAATTTTGAACAGATGTTATCACATTATTAACTATACAAACCATGTGCAAATCCTGATATAACTCATTTCACAGTAAACTTAAATTTACCACGAGTAATTAACTATACTTCCTTGACTAAAATGTTTTCTTAATAATAATTGTAATAATGAAGATAGTTTTATGTGGTTGTAGTTGATGAAAAGAAAAGGAATTGTTTACAGAATCCTGACCTATTGTTTGTGATGTCTTGCAAACTGAACGCTATATTCGTTTCTTAAGCTATTCTGTAACCCCCAAGCTAGAACCATACAGCGACCTGAACAACGAGAGAGAAGACGCAAAGTATGCGAGAAGTAGTTTACTCCAAGGTTCATTTTAACACAGAAAATATAGGGTTTTTATAATATTTTTAAATGTCCTTGGGTTGCTCGAAGATTCTGGAATGCTACTAAACATAGTAGCAGTATAGCAATCAGCAAATCGGAACCTCTATATGTGACGTTTCACTTCCTTGATACTTTTGGCTAAAACTTCAAGTGAACGCCGATTGGATGAAACGCTTCTTAGTGTTCCCTGATCCTTGCTTGTCTTTTGCGAAAAATTTTCTAGATCACTCCAACAGTTTGTTGTAAATTATTTTTATATGTCAGACGTATGTTCAGTATACTTTGAGCAAAACAGAACTGAATCCATATCTATCGCAACACGTTATGATAACGAAAAGTAAATCAGTTCTCACTGTAAACTACATCACTATTTAATTGTTTATGAATTTAGAAAATTTTTGTGTCCCGGGATCTGACTCCAGCTATATCATATGTTTGATTGTTATTGAAATATACATATCGCCAATCCTCGTATATAATTATCTACTTAACTCGCATCGGTGAATAACGGAATTAAATAAGTCAAATACCAGAATAGATGTTTGAATGAACATATTTTGTACACTCGTTGGTCGAAACAGATAATCAGAGAATCGCAGAGAATGAAGCAGAGAAATGAGAGCAAAGCAGATTCAAGGACTCACAGTGGAGAAAGCGTGTGAACCAACTCAATTTAATTAACTGTGAATCAATATCTATAGTCACAAAAAAATAAGTTACAGATATGTGATGAATGGGATAAGAAGTGCACGCACATACGCTCATATAAAATCAATCAGGGTTGATAAGTGAATAATTAACAAGGTGAAAACATGACCCAAGCAGTTTGGATAAGTTGACCTGTCCAGAAGCTAGAATAAGTTATATGGGCTTAACGTAGTAACCGATACCATGAAATAATCTGTAAGTGATTTTACAACTATTTCTTTAAAACACATTTATATTTCGATGGTTGAGATCATGACTCAGTTGAAGCTAGATCACCATAGAAAGCCTGAAAACTTTGGACAGCTGTTTCGTCCTATTGTGCGACTTCTCAGAAATGCGCATCCACGATTCGAACACAGGACCTATCGTTCTCGTCCGCGAATGCCTAACCTCTAGACCACTGAGCCGGTATCCCATGGTGTTATTGTCTAACTTCAACTCATCCACGAAATTGAGCGTCACATATATTTCATAAAAATTGTTACACATTTGATCATTCTATTCAGATATTCTTTTCTTTTCGATTTCCTGTGAATTTATTTGGAATTTGGAAATTTTTCGTTAGTTCAGAAACATATCAAATGTTTATAGACAATAAAATTGTCAATCACTCGGTATACAAAGTACTAATGTGTTTTTAAGCCCAAACTTCCATACAGTTAATATTTTGTCAAAATAATTTTCTTCTGTATCTACCAAAAGGTGCCGATTATGTAAATTATGGGAATTTGCATTTTACTTTCATAATGTACTAGCACACCTAAGTATTTTCAGTTTGTTTGTTTGTTTTTAAACTAGGCACATATACAATAAATACAAGTTAGAATAATCACTTGCAAACGTTTTTCAGTAGTGTATTACCGAAAAAAAAGAAAATGTCAAAAGTTCATTCCCATCATCACTATCTTTAAAAAA